CTGCTCATCTAGAGGCGGGACTATTTTCCCTCTTATAAAACCTTAGGCTACTTTAAGTCAGATCTAAATGGGAGGAAATCAAGTCATATCTAAACTCATCTAATCTATGGGATTTAGGTCTGGGGTTTGAATAGACAATTCTAATGAATGAAAATACTTTGATTTATACTTAAAAGAGTCACCATAAGGCTGCAAATCAGACTAATCTTTTTTACAAGTCCCTTTGGTTGACATCAGGCTTCCTCCCAGATGTCAGTAATTTTAGGCTGAAACTTTAAATTAAAATGAATAGCCGAACTTTTAATGTGCATAAAAACATGGAAACTGTATTTTTTAATAAATATATTTGAACAATAAATGTAAACATTTCTATAGATTTCATAGCCTGCGACACACGTTTCAGCACGGCTCAATGCCAGGCAGGTGGCTGATGTAAACAAACTGTTGGATTCACTGTATTTAAATTTCATGTATTTAAATTATTGCCATTTACATAGCCTTCTTATCCTATCAAAAGGCTGTTGTTGCAGGCTGCGTTTTACTGCACTGTTCCCTCAAGAAGGTGGAAAAAGGATTTTATTGTTACTGTGGTTTGAAGAGGACTGCATTTTATTTCCAGGTGGAGGTTTGAAATGACAGGAGTTATTTTGCATATTCCATTTTTTTTTTTTTTTTCAAATCTTCAAAATAAAAATAACACCAAAAATCTAATTTCTTTATTGTAATTCTATCATTGTAAATGTAAATCCCTATATTGCCCCACAATGAAGAAATTCACTCTCTGCACTGAACCCATCCCCTTGGGGAGCAGTGGGCTGCCATTGTGCGGCGCCCCGGGGAGCAGCGTGGGGTTAAGGGTCTTGCTCAGGGACCCAGAGTGGAGGCTGTAGGGATCAAACCAGGTACTTGCAACATTCTCAGAGCACAAGCACTGCTCTAACCACTAGGCCAACACATCCCATCTCGATTGATGTAAGACAACATCATACATTAACGTCGTGATGGAAGTTAAACTTAAAGCATCAAATATCGTACAGCACATTAGTCACATGATGAGTGATTTTCTCCAGCATGTGGTGTGGGGAAAATAAACATTTAATCATGAATAATTATTATGTATTTAAGCCTTTACATTTTGCGGCTCCAGACAGACCTGTTTTTTTTTTTTTTTTTTGCAGTATGTCTCTTTGAACATTTTGGGTTGCCGACCCTGATTCAGATATAATCTTAATTTTTCCTCCTCTCCAGCAAAATAAAACACTTTTTCTTTGTTGAAATAATCAGATAAAAAACAGGACAACAACGCCAAGTAGAGGGTATTTACCAAGGTTTGTGGTTACAACATAACCAAATGTGATATAGGTGATAATCTGCACCAATGGTTTACACAAGTACTCTCCTGCTGTGGGGAAATGTCCGCTGTGTGTCCTGAGCATTCTAAGACGAAGAAAAAAACTGAAGTTTTCCCTTTTCTAGGATTTTGCAGTCTACATGTGATAATAAACATGGAGTGAGTTGTTAAGTCCAACCAAAATCACATCTCTTTCTGTTTTTTTAGAGACGCAGCCATGTCGACCAGCAAGACGCCTCACTGCAGCTCCATCGCACACATCCAGGGGGTGCTGCAGCAGCTGGATGAGGCTCAGGGCCAGATGGAGGAGCTTTTCCACGAACGCAAAATCAAGCTGGACATTTTTCTGCAGCTGCGCATCTTTGAGCAGTACACGCTAGAGGTCAAAGAGCACGAGAACGTATATCTTTAGTCGGAGGCTGGCGGCTTCTCTGTGCCTCTGACACCTTCTTACCGTCCTTTTATAGGTGACATCAGAGCTGGACGCCTGGAACGAGGATCTGTCTCGTCAGCTGAAGGACACCAACCGTTCGGGAGGCAGCAGCAGTAGCAGCAGCAGCAGCGGCAGCTCCTCGTCCAGCGGTGCCGAGGATATAAGCCTGGCAGAGCAGCGGCTGAAACGGCACGCAGAGAGGAAGGCCGCCATGAACAACATGACCTACGAAGTGATGCAGCAGGGTCAGGACCTCCATCAGTACATCATGGAGGTGCAAGCATCAGGTAAAGTCAAGACTCTCTCTCCGTCAAAGTCTCCCTGTAATAAACATTTCTTCAGGTTTATCCAGGTTTGCAATCAGTTGTAAACTTAGTAGTAAAATAGAGAAAAAAAAAGTCCAGATCATGATACCTTCTCCACCGTACCTGATAATAGGTAGTTGTTGTTGCCACAGGCATGCAGTCTCTGATCTTCATGACAATGCAGGACCTCTGCTTTGATGAATATGGCTTTGCAAACTCTAGCTTTGCTGATAAGATCTTTGGTGGAAAAGAGCTTTTACTGCCTATCACGTAATCCATTAATCGGAGGCTTGAAGTGTTAAATTAGTTTTGTTTCTGGTATTCTAACATTGGGTAAAATATGTTTTTATGGCTACTTCTCTAACGCTGCTTTCAGAAAGGCGTTGAAAGCCCTACCTTGGACTCTTTCGGACATTGAAGTCAAACACATCGAGATCATCAAGCACTGTTTGGACCAGACATGTTCACAAGTCATTTTTTGCAAGTCCAAGTCAAGTCTCAAGTCTTGAGAGCTCAAGTCCAAGTCAAGTCTCAAGTCTTGAGAGCTCAAGTCCAAGTCAAGTCTCAAGTCTTGAG